ATGCCGAGAGTTCTAGATACTGCCTGATGATCTAAAAAGTAAATGCCTTACCCCTCTGGTGGAGCTCAGGGAGTCCAGGTGCCAGAGGTACCTGTCCGCTCTTAACTTTCTCTGCAGCTCAGGCAGGTGCTTCCTCTTACCTTCACCTCTAGACCTTAGTCCAACTCTGCCTGGTCACTGGCTTGTGCCTGCAACAGACTGGATCTAGAAATCCATCATGGAGTGAGGCACTGCCCTCTCTATTATTGAACATCTCTACCTAATCATCTGCTTGGTATTTCCGTTGAGCTCAGTTGGCATCTCAAGCTCAGTACAATGAAACATCTCTAAGAGATTGCCTAAGAGTACTAGGTTAATTAAGAGCAAAATTGAAGTATAAATCTAGATTGTTCAGCTTTCAGTCTTATGTTTTTACCAATACAATGCACTTCATTAAAAAGTCTGTATTGAAAGAAAAAAATCTTTGTGACTCACTTAAGTAATAGAATTGGAATCAAGAGGGAGAATATGAACTGCCTACAAATGCAGGGAAAAGAAAAATAAAAGTAAGGGGGATAAATATACTAGACTGACTGAAGAAACTATTTTAAATAATCTTTGTGCTTATCTGAGGTTACTTGAATATGTGTATTTAATAGATCTATAATTATTTAACTGTCAATAATGCATAACTATTAATATAATATCCCCTTGCCTAGAATTTTGGATTGTTATGTTAGAGCCCTGTGGCTAAGCAGGGAACAAACAAAAGGTGACTCATTCCCAACAGCACTATCACAGAAGACAGGACCCAAACCAAAGAGTAACCAGCAGCCACTAGACTGCCCTAGGAGCTGGTAAATAATCTAACTTAACCCTTACAGATTGTTATTTTTTAAATATATCACAGGCCAGCCCATAACCTGGCAGTTAAGGCAGCTGAATCCCCCATGGCCAACCATGTGATTTGAGTCGTGGACCCAGCAGCTTGCAAAACCATGTTGAGTACATGTGCATACATGCCCAAAATCCCACAAGGAGGGAGAGACTGAAGAGAAGGAATTGTGGCATAACCATCCCTCATGGAGGGGTGCTTTCTCCCTTTCTATTTCTGTCTCCAGTGAACACACATATGCTCTGGCAAAAGGAAAAAAGATCACAAAAGATCAATTTTTCAGAGCTCCACAATCTTAAGATAACCACAGATTTTGTGAGTAAAGCATGCCAAAATGTACATTCTGTACAATGTCTCTAAATAAGTATGTGTTTCTGCTTGAGCACGGTTCCTCCATTATAGTGAATTCTATTAACTGAAAACGATAATTCTATAGATCTAAGTATTTGTATTCACTAACAATTTTTCTTTCATTTAAGCTAAATACCTTGTTTTAGAAAATTAAAAATAAGAAATATGAATTCCAGTCACCTGTTACGTATTTCATACTTGCTCTAATTGCTCGCAAGAACATTTTTACCTGATTAAGGACTTTCTGCAGGTGTGGGGTCCCCATTCGATCAGCAATATGTCTGTAAGCAGGATGGGAAAGAAAAAATTTCCTCTCTGCCAACATGGCCGCCTTAATGTCCTTCTTCCCATCTATGTCCTTCTGGCTTCGGTTTACCACACCCACATAACCTGGAAGAAAACACAAGCAAATGGCACACTTTCTGTCACTTATTCTAGGAAAATTCCAAGGCTCTCAAACAGGCTGGATAAGAAAGGCAAAATTAATTTCAGGCCGTAAGACTAAGTCTCTTCAAAACTCAACCTCAGACATCATCATTTAACAGAGGACATTGATTTGGCAAATGTTAATTTTTTTGGCAGCGACACAATCTCTCTTGCCCTTAAGAGCTCTGTGCGTTATACGCAAGTATGTCTCCCAGCAGTTTTACCACAGGGAAGACAAAATAAATAGCAGACTTAGTGCCGTATATGTTTATGCAGTCTATGATGAATATTTATAACCTCCCTTCAAACCCCTTCCTTTTCCTGTTTTCTAAATCCTGTTATGAATAGTTCTCCCTTTGGATTATTTTTAAAAACACGTCATTTGGGAATATTGTGCCGTTGCATAAAAAGAATAATCATAAACCCACTCTTCACAACTAAGGAATATTAAAACCAAGCCTTCCATTGACTTTCCAACTGACTCCTGGCCATATGTCAAAGGAGGAATTGTAAGAACCAGAGCACATTACCCCTGCGAAGAGGCAGCAGCTTGTTCTCCAGAACATCTCTGGCATCTGTCCCTTCATCCATAAGATCCAGTTTGGTGATGACACCAATGGTCCTCAGACCTGCATCACAAACAAACCCAATATTACCCAATTTTACAAATTTTAGTGACATACATGTCTCAATGCTAAATATAAAGCACATATTCCTAGCCCTGATCTTGCTTTTGCCTGTCTTATTTTGTTTTCTAATCCACTACTACATCCAGTTTTGTGAACTTCATGGCGACAAGAATTGTAAGCCCACCCATCCATAACTTTTGATCTAAGAGAGAAAAGCAAATAATTGTATCACCAAAATACTTGAAAATATGTATATATTTGTATCATACATCAATGGAATTTATAGACTTTTAATTTTTCTTCTATGGAGTGGAAGGAAAGCTACTAATATGAACCTTTTTTATGTATTAAGTCTTTTATTGAAACCAATTAAACAGCCTATGAATGGACCAATGATGACAATGTGTCATAAACCAAGAATTATTGCTGATCCAGTTCTGAGCACTTGAAGCAAAAACAAAACAAAAAAGAAGAGAATTAGAGATAAGATAGAACATACAATTACCAAAATTAAATTTGCAAGTTTTGCAGCATTCACTGTTCCTTAGAAAAAGAAATATAGAAACCAGCAGGTGGCATGGTGGCTAAAACACTAGACTGTCACATGGCCAACCATGGTTGGAGTCCTGGACTTGAAAATCACTCCAGGTGTGTGTGTGTGCCCAAAATCCCAAGAGAAGAGTAGAAGAGAAGGGACTGCAGCATGGTCATCCCCAAGAGGAGCAATTTCTTAGTTTCTCTCTCATTGTCTTTCTCTGTCAACTACACATACCCACCCTATGGCAATCGCCTGGCAAAAATAAAAATAAAAGAAAGAAATATAATAATGAAAAGAAGACTGAGCTAGGAATTATGAGACTTGAATTCTAGCCTGAAGGTAAATCACTTCACTCTCTTAGTCTGTTTTCCTCATCTATAAAATAGACTTAGAAACTGATATCCAAGTTACCTTTGAGTAATAAAACACTATAAGAACCTAGATACTTTACATAGCATATCAGATCCATGGCATTTGTCCTTTGTTTTCCTCAGTAAATTAAATGAATAGTATTTGCCTGCTAATTCATATTGTTAAGTGTGTTTCTTTGGATTTCCAGTTAAGCATGGTTACTTAAATACATAAGACTTATATTTTACTTAACACTACTCTAAAATAATATGGCTAATATTTACTGTTGGCTATAGTTTTAAATTCTGAATATGTCTTCAATCATGTAATCCCACAAATTAGTCCAACTACTATATTTGCATATGCAAGAATTAAGGCAAAGTGAAGCTTAACAGTTTGCTTAAAGTCATACAGTCATACAGGAATAGGTCCAGCTAGTCTAGTCTAGGCCAAGAGCCTGTGCTTTAACCAAGACATAGCTTCTCACTTTTAAGACTATTAAAAAAAAAAAAAAGTCTTAAAAGGTCAAAAAGAATGGGAGAAGCCTACAGAAAAATTGAAGCCAAAACCCAGACGGATGACTGCTAACTTAAGGACCAGCAAAAATGAAAGCTGCATTCAAGAAAGTCAACAATAGAAGACCAGAAGCTGGATAATTTGCATCACTGTATTTTACAAAGGCTCAAGACCCAACGAACCAGTGGCTTTGGAAATATTGCAGAGGGTCATGCCAGGGGAGGTCGAAGCAGGAGTAGTGGATGAAAGCTTGAGATTTCCACAGCTAACACAGCTGGGGGCTGTCCACAGTCTATCTGGTAGGAGCATATAAGTTTATGCTTAGAAAGACTAACTAGAGAAATCTCTGAATTCAAGGACATCTGGCCTTGTTTAGGGGGTCAGCTATTGAAAGAGGGTGATTAACCAAATTTCCATATACTGAATGGTAAGACCATTCCCTCCTCACCTCCCCAGTCCAGCTCCATAGTCTGCCTTCAAGAAAGATCTGACTGGCAGACTTAATATTATCTTCCCCACCCTACCCTGCCCAAGCAAGAAACTAGAAGAAACTTGTTTGAGAAAATTAACCATTCCAAGAGGAAAATATAGATAATAACAGAGGATCCTCCATCAAAAAAGTCCAATAAATCACCTTGCTGTGAAGCCTACCACTCAATAAGTCAAGCACACCCAGAGAGCTTCTGAGTTTCCAATCACCTGCTAATATTTAATCTTTAAATATAAATGGAGAGCCAGGAAATTATTTGGAGACCGAAGCAAACATAATGAAACAGAACCTTGAGAAAAATAAAAATAACATAAAATATAAAAGAAAACTTTTATTTTGGTTAATATCTTCAGAGAGAAAGATGTTATATCATTCACAGGTCAAGAATAGAATGGCATCAAAATAAATATTAAGACAAAAAAATTCTTAATTGAGAATATAAGAGCAGAAATGAAAATGTTAGTAGAATGGCTAGAAGACAAAATTGAGGAACTTGCTGGAAAACAAAATAAAAACAAGTAAATAATAGGAAAAAAGTTTTTAAAAACTAGAGAAATGATCCAGAAGATCCAATATCTGAATAATTGGGATCCCAGAGAGAGATTAAACAAAAAGAGTTGAGGTGGGGGGAAATCTCATTCAGGAAAATGCTGTATAAAGGAAAGAGTTACAGGGGGCCAGGAAAGAGTTACAGGGGGCCAGCAGGTAGCATATTAGTTAAAAAACTAGACTCCCCTGTGGCCAACCATGGTTCAAGTCCTGGGTCTAGTGGCTTTCTCACTTTCCCACTTTCTCTTTCTGTCTCTCCTTGCTGAACACATGTACCCTACAGCAAAATGAAAACTAATAATAATAAATAAAAGTAAATACATAATTCTTTAAAAAAAAAGATACAACCATATACTGTATCAGCATCAATTAACTTTTCATTCATGTGTCTGTTAAATGTTTTTTTTTCCCCATCTTTCCCTCCTACCCTGTGTTCCCCACCCCTCCTAATGTTTTTAAAAGTATGGAGAAATTCAGACTTCTGGAGGAAAAAGTTAGAAATGCATTAGTGATGCTATGTAGAATAATATGCAGACTAGACAAGAGAACTCAAAGAACCAAGGACATTTCATCATAATTTCCCATATGGTTGATCCCCTTTATCATTTCTGGTAAACATTAAGTATAGACTTGTCTGCCTTTTCAGAAATAAGGGAGTAATAAAGAAAATACTTTTATAACCAATTTTTATTTTTATTAAAGCTATAAATATATATTTAGCTCTTTAAAAAACAAACAAACAAACAAACAAAAAACAGGTCATTTCCAAAGGCTTTTAATAAAAAAATATCAATTTCTTGCCTACCCTTCCTGACTTGGTTACTGATTTCCACAGGCTACCATTTTTAACCTTTGAGCCTTTGGTGGGTGGGGTGGGGGAAGGGGAGATTACCTCCATATTTCTATGTAATCTATTTATACTGTTATGTCTTGAATTTTTATTTTCAGGGTTTTGTTTTGTTTGTGGGTTTTTTGTTTGTTTGTTTTGCTTTAGATACTCCTTTGACTTCTTGCTGTAGGGAAGGGAGACAATTAAGCAGACTTGAGACCTGCATTAATAGATCTCAAAAAGCGATTGTCAGAAGAGAGTCTAAAAGCAGCAGGCTCTAAAAGCATTAAAGGAAACCGAAAGACCTGAATAAAAGAGAGTCCACTGCTGAGCACTGATTACGTGCTAGCCTCATCTAGGACTCAAAACCACAGCCATCTGAGAGGTACTATTATTTTTCAATTACATAGATGAGAAAAGTGAGACTGAGAGAGGAAACTACATTGCCTAAAGGGTCACAGCCTGCACAGCAAGGAAAAGCACTCAGATCCAGCAATTTAATTCTTTTTTTTTTTCTTTTCAATTTGCTACAGGGCACATAAACCAGAGAGAGAAAGTGAGAAAACCTCACAGGAGGTTGGGGTGGGGAGTTGGCCAGGTGGCAATCCTTTCTCCTCCATCCTCCTCTCAGGACTTTGGGCACTCACTCACACATACCCAGTTTGTATTCCAAGCTGTCACATCCAGGACTTGAAATATGTAGTTGATTGGGTTCACCACCTTAACCATCAGGCCACCAACTGGCCCCAGTTCCATTTTTAAATCACTGTCTTTTTTTCTGTCTCCATATTCTTAGATAGATTATATAAGTGAGTAGCTCTATCATTCAGCAACTTAGTCATGTCCTCTAGAACTTCAAACTTAACTAGAATGGGCCAGTCCATGGCAAGGTGGTTACATAAAATGAACCCTACACGGTTGAGTGCATTCAAGTTCCGGACCCAGTTATTCTTCATTTATTAGAATAACTTAATACAATTCTTGCCCTCCTACTTAAAGAATATAAAAACAACAAATTATGAGCTAATAAGGGTGATACTGTTTTTTAATTATGTTTCTCTTTAATAAAGAATAGCCACAGTGATGAGTACTGATGAGTCCTGATGAAAACTTTGAAAAGACATACAAAGGGAACCAGCAGTTAGCGTAATGGCTATGTCTCTGGACTCCCACGTAGTCGACCGCGGTTCGTGTCCCGGACCCGGTGGCTTAAAACACGCCGGGCGCGTGTGCGTGCATGCCCAAGATCCCGAGAGGAGAATGGAGGAGAAGGGATTGCGGCGTGACCATCCCCCCTGGGGGGTGATTTCTCACTTTCTGTCTCTATGTCTCTCTCTGTCTGTCTGGCGAGCGCATGCGCCCTACAGTGAAAATCTCTCAAAAAAAAAAAAAAAAAAAAAAAGACATACAAAGCACTTCAAAAATTTGATACTTACATAACATAGAGGGTAAGTGCACTCAAGGACCAGATCATCTGGGTTCAAGTCCCCCTGGTGCTCCTTATTGGTTCTGTGACATTTGTTCCTTTGTCAGCTCATTATTTCATCAGTAGAGTAACCATGCATCATATTTTATATTAGTTGTCTTGGAATAATTACTAATGACACCTCCTTTAAATATCTAAAGAATTTCTTTTTGAAGGACTAATTGCATGTTCACTCTAACTCATCAAAAAGAGAGGAAGGGAATAACAAATCTATGATTTAAAATTAAAAATAGAACTCTAG